ATATAAAATGTGTATAGTTACAAAAGATACATGTGATGTCATCAGCGGTATCTGATATGGCATTAAACTCAGAAAGAAAATTAATGTCCCTTTTGTATCTCTGGAATCAACCCATCTCAGAAACCGTGCCCGTACAACTGTGTGAGCCTGTTCCACTGTGACTACGTAGAGTTTCCCTTCTCATGTGGTGCCGGAAGCCCTGGCGTGTGCTGTCGTCCTGAAAACCAGCGTACCTTCAGCTTTGGCAGTCTCTTTGACACATTCAAGGTAAGAAAGAAAATGAAAAGTCGTTTTCCAAAACTCAGTAAGTCAATTTTTCCACACACATTCATTGTCGGAAACAGCCATATTTATGCACTGCTCACAGCCGAAAGTTCCGTATCCCGGACGCTAGCATTAATAAAATCTAAATCATTATAATATTATACTCAGATGCATATAATAATACTTAAATGGGTCATGTTTATATTATAAGCGTGTGAGGCATCGTGGTGAAATCAGACGCTTGTCAAACGACTTTTGGAAAAGCTCGCTTCGATTGTCTATCGGGAGCAAGCCAGCTCGGCGGGAATCTACCTGGATAATACTGGATATATCCGGAGGCGTCATCTCTGACTCAAAGGCTGGCGTGTAATTGTAATCGCCCTCTATCCTTCACGGTCGCGAGCTGCCGTTTGCACATTCTGCAATATACAGGCCAGTCCATGCTTTTATGCTGTCCTCATGTAATCTACTACGATGTTTCTGTACTTCTATTCTACTTGACAGTATATCGCGATGTTTCTGTTCTACGTGACGGTCTACCGCAATGTTTTTGTTCTTCTTGATGGTCTACCACAGGTCCCGTCAGGCGATTGCTCTTCTCGACGATCTACTAATCTATTTCAATCAACAACCGTAACCTGAACCCTAGCCCTAGCCCTAACCCTATCCCCAACAATTGTGTGATTCTGTTCTTCTGCAAAATTCAGAGGGATCACACACCCTGATCCCACCTCATCGCCTTCTATGTTAAGGTAAAAGTCTACTTGAGTCCCCCCCCC